TGAGAAGAGAAGACTCTCTGGAAAAGACCCTGATGTTGGAAAAGTGTGAAGGCAAGAGGAGAAGGGGTCGACAGAGGACAAGATGGTTGGACAGTGTCATTGAAGCTACCAACATGAATTTGACCAAATTCTGGGAGGCAGTGGAAGACAGGAGGGCCTGGCGTGCTGTGGTCCATGGGGTCACGAAGAACTGGACGTGACTTAATGACTAAACAACAACAACAACATCCCAACACTGTGAATGTAACATGTCCAATACAGGTAACTGGAAGATATATTTGCTAATTATAAATATTTATAGCCTATTTCTTCATAGCAGAAATGCATATGCATATAACTATCAGTCTCTTACTGTTTCCCGCCAAAGAGACCCCTTTTCAATCACTGAGAGAGTGTAAAAGCCAGACAGAAGAGACCCATGTAATAAAGCAACTATAGACATCCAGAACAAAAATACCCAGATATCTAGTGTTTCCTGATACACCTGCTCCTATGCCACTCCTATGTCTTGTTTTGGCTGGCAGGCAGCTGCAATTTGAAGATCACAGTCTCCAAAATACAGATGGCAATCCAGCACTTGGAATTGGACTTTTTCCCCTCTTTAGATCATCAGGTGAGCAGGAGACATTTCAGTGGAATTTCTGTATCCCCTGATGGATTATTTCCACACTTAGAGACTTTACAAAGTCTGGTGGCCCTGTTTTGTTGCTGGGCCTGGCTAGAGAACAACAAGCAGTATGGGGAGGGTGGCAGAAAAAGTAACATTAGCTATATAGCAGGGCCCAGAACAGAGTTCGGGGGCGGGGAGGAATTTTTTTTCAGACTACGGTGTCCAGAGTCTGCCATCCAACAGGACTACTGGGCATGCTGACTGGGGGAATTCTGGGAGTTGTAGTCTAAAAATGTAAAATTTCCAATATAGGCCCCAAAGGCCTTTGAAAAACTAGTGTGATGAAGCAACTAGAACATTAGACCAGGACTCAGGAAACATGGGTTCAAATTCCCATTCAGCTATTAATCTCAGTTAAAGATCTTGGGCAGAAACACTCGCTCAGAGAGGAGGAGAGCCATGTAGACCAGTGGTCCCCAACCTTGGGCCTCCAGATGTTCTTGGACTACAACTCCCAGAAGCCTTCACCACCACCTCTGCTGGCCAGGATTACTGGGAGTTGAAGTCCAAGAACATCTGGAGGCCCGAGGTTGGGGACCACTGATGTAGACCACTTGGAGTCAACTGTATGAAAGACACATTTCAAATGAAACAAATATTACAATCAATTGGGTTGTTCTTGCCATTCTACCCTTGGGTGAAAAGTGTTTAGAGTCTATACATGGCACGTGGAAGATGGTTGCCTACATGTCACAGTTGTTATACTCGTTTGTTTGTAGCTCTTGCCATAACAAGCATGTTGGTCAATATGTTTCTAGAGAAGGAAGACCTGCATGTGGTTGTAAGCCAATCCTGTTTTCTGATTCAGACATTTGTGTTGTGGGGTGGGTGAGAGGGATGGCATCTGTAGGCAACATAGAGACACAGGAAATATGCTTTTAAATTACAGTACCTATCAGCCAGGGTTGTTTTCTTTAAATATAACACACAGTCCATTCTACTTCATAGTATCTCCATTCTTAAACCAACAGCTGAAATCCAGTAGAAAGTAGCAGCTAGAGTAGGCCCATTGAATCAATGAAACTTACAAGGTGTTTACGCACCAAATCCCTGCTGATTCAACGGGCCTACTCTTGTTGCCACTTCTTAGTGGATTTCAGCCATTATGCCTGAATTATTAGGATGGGGGAGGAGGGTGCAGTGCTGTCTTTGGAAGGAGTCAGTGGCACAACTCTCCTGGTTTTCTAAGCATGAAGAACCACTTTACATGTAAAATATAGAAAATGTCAAGGGGTTAAAAGTAATTAAACTTTGAACAGTTTCCAATTGCACCAGCTTGGTCTGATGAATGCCAATAATGCAGCTACAAAAGCACCATGTGAGCTCAAAACATGTAATTATTTATTACCAGCTGGTTATGGGTTTCCGGATAGAGGTGTCTATAACATCGAGGGGGGAAAACACCTTACAAGCTGTAAAAGTTCATATTATTAGCCTGCAGACTTAATCAGCATCACTACAGTGGACCAAAGCTTGGAAGCAACACCAACTAATGCTATTAATCCTTAGTTTTTCCAAAGGTATTCTTAGAATTTATGTACAATGAGTAACATTTGATAGTTATTTCAGAAATGTTGCTCTGGATGGATTTTGGTAAAGCTGCACCGATAGTTATTTCAGAAATGTTGCTCTGGATAGATTTTGGTAAAGCTGCACCGTGTGCGCGTGTGCATGCGCACACACACACGCGCGCGCAACAGTGAAAGCATGTGCGCGTGCGCGCGCACACGCACACACACAACAGTGAAAGCATAGGAGGTTTATAAGCACACAAGATTTTGTCTGGACAAAGTTTAACATTCCATGAATGGAATGGTAGAATGGTTGCACGATAAAAATCTCATATAGAAGTGCCCATAACTTCCGGGTTGAAGTTCTTTTGAAAGTGGTGAACTCTGCACTACAAATGGAATGCTTTCAACTTGATCATGAATTCACAATTTGCCGTTTCAAATTGTTAGTCCAGTCTTTCGTCATGGTTTGTGTCAACATTTCAAGAATTTGAGACTAAAGGTCATTCCAGTGAATGATGCCAGTTACTGAAACAAAAATGTAAATTTGCTTGGTCTGCCCCATAAACTAAGATTCTCCATCTCAAGCCAATGTAATCGTTTCCACTATAATGAGTGGTGTTAGGTATTACCAAGGCTTTGCTGTTTCCTTCACAACCATCAGCTCTAAGGTATCCCAGTTAACCCAGACACATTACACGTTTGGACCACAATTCTCAGCCTGCAAATAAGAACATTTCCAAACTCTGATCTAAATCATAATCTTAAACTAGTTTCACAGTCCTTGTCTGGCATCTGCTTTTGGGAGAAGTGAATAGGCATCTCTGGAGCAGAATTAGCAGCCAAAGCCATTATCCCAGCCTCAAAAGGAGTGCAAAAAAAAAAATCTTCCAATAGTCACGTAAGCCATATACCCTGACAGTTATTTAAAAAATCCGAATTATGCAGTTCCCCTCCACCCTTTCTTGAATGGAACCATCAGCTAGATTTTCAACATGACAGATGAAACCTTCAGTGCCAAATTGATGGGAGGCTCAGCAAGGGCAGCTGGTTAGGCAGAAAAGCACACCACCCACTTGGAGCTTCTCAAGGACACTGTGCCACCGAGAAGCACATTTAAAACTGTTAAGAATATGGCCGAATAAAGATGGTAGTTGGAAGCAATTGAGGGTTTTTGAGCATTGGTTTCTAAGCAGGAGCAGGCTCTTACATAATGAGAACTCTGGATTTCAACCTTCAAAAATCTACAACCATTCTTGGCTCTTTCCCAGATTTTACTAGGCGTATTTAAGAGTGAAGGGAGCAGAGGAGCCTACTGTTTCACACTTTTCCTTTTTCTGACCATTACATATAATCTTCCCAATGATTGCAGCCTCCTCTGTGTGTGTGTGTGTGTGTGTGTGTGTGTGTGCGTGTGTGCGTGTGTGCGTGTGTGCGTGTGTGGCGTTGTCTCACTCGGGTGGGAGCATATAATTGAGAACCAACTTGGAGCAGAGAAATTACTAGTTGCAGCCCAACAACCCTGACTAACTGCTACTTGGAAACAGAAAGTACATTTTAGAAGGTTGCAATAAGATTCTAATGTAATTCAGCATGCAGGGATCCTGGCTTACCCAGAACTTTCACTATTACCAATGAATCCCAGTTTTTAAAGACTAAGATGGAAGAGTTGGGGAAAGCGCCTCTTCTCACGCTCCAGCCCAAACTGCATCCCATGAAATTTTGCATTGAATCAAATTTGCTTAGTCCTTAAGGTGTCACAAGGCGCAGTGCTGATTTTGGCCAACCATGAGTAATTTAAAAGCATATTTCCATTTACTGGAGTTGTCAGTTCTCCACTTCACATCATTTCCTGTCCAGCTGGGAAAAACATAAGGAGGAACAGAGATTGGGAACAACTGAGCCTCCTAGGTCAGCCGTTCGTGGCTCTCTGTAACCTCTTCCACTTAAGGACTGTTTCATGCAAGGATGGGCAGCCGGCAAATCCTTTACTTCCAGAAATCTTGCACTGGAACAGCACCAAACCCATCTACTGGACGCCGACCCCCTGAAGTCCAGGAAAAGTTTCTGCATGCCTCTCAAGTGCTTCTGGTCAAAATCTGACTGCCTTGACATTCTAATCGGTTTTCAATTTTGCCAGTATTTCATGTGCGTCCACGATTTCAAATTGTGCAATGCTCTGATATGAATAACGAAAGGCACCTTACTTTGCAGGGAATCCAGCTTTGCCCCTGGCTCCTGCCACCAAGCCCCAGCTCACTAGCAAGTGTGCCAGCGTGAATCTCAACTCCCCCAGGTGATGTATGCTTGTGTGCAAAGCTCTTTGGATACCATGGAAAGTCGCCCCTTCCTAACTCCTCACCCGTCTGGTTCCCCCTGAAACCCGTGCACATCCTGCAAGGTTCCTCTGACCCCCCCCCGTCCCCTAATAAAGTGACTCCTCTTTTGTGTTTCTTTTACACTTTTTTTAGTCGCTGGGAGCAGAAATGCCCCCTTCCCCTCGACTTTACCCAGAAGTTTGCCCACCTCTTTTAAGCCCAAACTTCAAACCTAGGACCCTTCTCCCGCCTCCCCGTTTCCTAGAAGGCACCCTTACCTTCTTTCCCCGGCACCTCAAGAGGAAGGGAAGCCCAGAGCAGGAGGAGGAGCAGGAGCTTAAAGGGGAGAGCTGCCTTGGGGCCAGGAAACCTCGGCTCCATACTCCCTGTGGAAGCCATCCTGCTGCTCCCAGCCCCTCCGCTTTGGTCCAGCTGCAGCTGCCTGTCTGTCTGCTCAGTCGCCTAGCCACAGGCCCTGGGCATCTGGGCACCACCGGGAGCAGGCTGCCCCTTGGCATGAGGCGCTCTCGCTAGAGCCGCCCGATTGACTAGGGCTCAGTGCATTGCAAAACCAGCTCGCCTGGCCCTGAGTTATGATGAAAGACTCAAAGGCAGAGGAGTGGTAAAACTTGTTCTCTCTCCCAATCAACTCCCTTGCCCGCTTCCCCGCTTTAAAGGGGCTGGCCCGGGACTTCCCATCTGGCAGACAAATAAGCTCACCTTAAAGGTAGCCACCTTTCCTCCCGGGAATCGTTCTTCTCGAGCTCGCCTTCGGTCAGACCCGCTCGGTGGCTCCAGAGCGCCATCTTGGGGGCTCCTCCCTCCATTTCTGTTCTTGTTCCCACGAGCTCAGGGGCTTCCCCAAATGTTCGGGAAGGAACACAGGAAATGGGCATGTGCTTAAAAAAACAAAGAGCCCCTTACTCTCCTAAAGTACTTCTGCAGGGTACATTCAGGAAGTCTGCATAGTTTTACGTGTATTTGAAAGAATATTTTCTTTGGTTGTTGTGGGTTTTTCGGGCTCTTTGGCCGTGTTCTGAAGGTTGTTCTTCCTAACGTTTTGCCAGTGTCTGTGAGGACTGGAGTAGCACTCTGGCTGTGCTCCTCAACGTTAGGAAGAACAACCTTCAGAACATGGCCAAAGACCCCGAAAAACCCACAACCATTGGATCCCGGCCGTGAAAGCCTTCGAGAATACAATGCAGTATTTTCCTTATTCCCTGCCCTCTCTTAAGGAAAAACGAAGTTAGGTCGAGGTCACCTCAAATCCTTTTGCGGCTGAAATGCCCGCTCTGCAAGTGGCCCTATTGTCTGCGGTCCTCCTGGGAAGAAGAGGAGACCCTTTTTGTACTGTTCTCATAAAGAGAGGTGTTTTAGAAGCATTCTGAGAAAAAAATATTTCAAGTTTTGATACCATACTTGTCAGTCTAAAGGACTTTCTGCTTCTGAAGTAATATAAGGTAGCAAAAAAACAAAGCAGATGTAATGTTTGGTACCTTAAAGACTTAACTGTAAATTTTCTTGGATTAGGTCATTTCCTCAGGCATTTTTTTCCACTCAGACTTAACAGGGCTAATGGTTGTTGTGGGTTTTTCGGGCTCTTAACAGGGCTACTTAGCGATGGTGACAAAAAGCTGACCAGCAACACCATGAATAATATAAATTGCTTTTCTTTAAGTTCAAGTGTTGCATAATGGAACTGAATTAATTTCAAAATTAATGGGGGCAAAGTACAGTTTGAAAAATAACTTTCTGCGTTCCAAATGAAATTAAATAAATGGTTTATTCATACAGTGTTCAATGAAAAGACAATCGCAAATTGATATTGTAGATAATTAAAACCTATATAAGAACACCAAGGAAAACGCAGTGTGTTAGAATAAATGAGGCCACGCAAGGCAAATAAAATAACTGGTAACCAAGACAGAACAACATGAATTCAAGAAAGGAAGTAACACAAATAAGAAACATTTATTAAAAGGCACAACTGACTGTCGGTAGCAAAAAATATTGCACAGACAAGTATCCTGTTTGCAGTTGTGAAGTGCTGGCATAGCGGTCTGTGAGATTTCCGGATTGACACTATAGAAAGCTAAAGATTGCCCCGTTATAGTGAATGGTGCTTATACATTTTTGAAACAGGCACTGTACACCTCCTTGCACAAGCTCAGAAAAATACCCAACAGCTTATGCAAAAGAGCACTGATGCACAAAGCATGTAAAGAGGATTTTGACCAAAGAATGTTGTGACATTGTAAAGACTATTAGGTTTTATCTAGCATCAGCTTTCGTGGACTGCAGACTACTCCTTCCAAAATATCTCTCTGTCCATCTATCAAATGAACAGGCCTAATCATGTTTCTTGTTTTTACTGATGTATGCAAGCTGTTCCAATAAACTTTTCAGGAGGGAAACAGAATCAAAATGTGTATATATATTGCCAGTATATACACCAGTATTTCCTCTAACACATCTAATTCAAAAGGATTCTACATTCCCTGGCTATTCTTACATTACATTTCAGCATTAAGTTTAAGAATAAATTGCAAATATCAGTCCGCTGTGTGAGGATCCAAGAATCCCTTCTTCCCCAACCAAGGAAAGCAGAAACAGTATACAGCTATATTAAAAAATAAGGCTGAGCAGAGAATACAGCCCAGAATTGCCTGTTCCATTTCTGGGTGAAAAAAAAAAGATGGATGAATTTCATCAATTATTCTTGGACATTCAAGCAATTAAGGGTGCAAAACTAAATTTCTACCAAATGTACCTAATGATACATTTTTCATTAAGACTGAGTTAAAAATTACTAACAGTCCATATAGCGGCTGCATCAAGAAAACTATGGGAAAGAAGTGAGAAAGAATGGAAGGGGTAAGAACCAACTACTGTATTTGGATTTCTGCAACCCTATTGGATTTCAAATCCAGGCAGGCTAGATGGCTTTAGTTCTCTGGCTGCGGAGCCAAAGGTTGGGAGTTTGATTCCTTGCTGAGCCTCCTTGACAGGGACTGGGCTTGATTATCTTTAGGGTCCCTTCCAGCTCTGTGGTTCTAAAATTATGACTAAAATAGTAGTGATTCAGGGTTCCTGGAATGTAGCTTTGCCCTTTTCCTGGACACTTCATTCTTTCAGCAGGCACTTTGCAGTCTCTGCAAGACCAAACATGCTCAGTTGTCATTGAGCTGTTCAGTGGGGAGATGCTTTGTTACATTTTTTCCCTCCTCCTAACTTTTTTTTCTTCAAAGAATCCCAGGCATGCTGACACCTCCCTGTGCGTTGTCAGCAGTACTATGTGGGCTACAATCATGTCTTACTGAGTAGTCGTGCTTGCTCTTACAGGAAGTGATAATAAGCAATTGAGACACTACCATCTCTGAATTCTCTAGCCTATTCTCAAGTGATGAAATTAGGATCGGAAGAGGAAAAAATGTTTTGCTAAATATTCGCAGATGGAAAATTTTTCAACCTGAAAAAAGAGAGAGAGGAATCTGGAAAAGTAATTTCTCCAAAACTTCATTTAGTTTAGACTAAAGGGCTTGGCAATGCAATTATTGTTCTGCTTGTCTCTGAGGATTTCAACTCAAAAGAAGATTTATTTATTTATTTGATATACCACCCATCTAGCAAATTGCTACTCTTTGCAGTGTACAACAGGAATGAAAAACTGAATTTATATAAAAGATAAATTATATAAAAAGTAACTACTACAAACTAATTCTCTCATTGCAAAGAACAAGACTGGTGGCAGAATAAAAACAGTGTGACATGTGTCCCTCGTTCTTCCTCCTCTATCCCAGTTAATTTGAGGGGGGGGAGAACCTCCCCAAAAACTTCATTAAAAAGCTGTGTTTTGAGATAAATGAAAGGTTTAACAGAATTGATTTATGTTTCATATTCACAGAAATATTCATCTTGCAGAATGGAATAACATAATAATGAAGAACTGGGAAAGGGGCTGTGAAAGTTTATGCCAGTAAAGCCTATTATTCCTTCAAATCTCACATAACGCTATCCTGTTTTTTCCTACAGCAGACTCACATAATTACCTCTCTTCTCAAAATGGAAAAATACCTTGTTTTCATATTTGTATACGTCTGATACATGCAGAATCATCTGATACATGCAGAATCATAGGATAATTAAATAAAAGAAGGTTTTTCAAATTTGCAACGATTTTCAGTATCATTTTCTTGGTATATTCCCTTATCATCAATTATCCAGGTACAATCCAGCGGAGTTGCACAGCTAGCTTCCAATCCATCTGATTTTCTCACCACTTTGATGTTATAAAGCCTCCAGTTGTATCTTCCCAAATAATAGGTGATGATGTTCCAGTCGGTGACTTCATTTACTTTCTTTTTCTGTCCCGAGCAGACTGTTGTAGGAAATGATGATGCCAGCCATTTGTACCAGAAGAAAATCACATTGCCATCCAGCAGTTTGAATAGTGGCCTGGCACTGACAGTGACTTCGACATCTTCCCAGGCTTTATTGTGAACATTAATTGTCAAACGGCATTGTGATTCTAATTCTAGAGAAGTAAAACATAGAAAATATTATCCCATATTTCCATTTCTTCAATTTCTTAACTTATATATAGCCCCTTTTGGCCCTCTGACATCCACCATCAGGCAGGCATGTACCAATGTCTTCCAAGCTAAGCCTGACTGTGCCTTTACTCACCCCCAGTTCTATTAAGAGGGATTCCATGATTTGAGAGGGCAGCTCTGTCCCTTTCTGCTCTACCCCTAGGATCCACCCTACTACACAGAACCACCTATAAAATTGTGATGGAAATCAACACAGGCAAAACATCCATGAACAAGTATGAACAAGTATGGATTCAATTTTATACCTGCAAAACTCAGTAAATGTAAAATACTATCTATCTATCTATCTATCTATCTATCTATCTATCTATCTATCTATCTATCTATCTATCTATCTATCTATCTATCTATCTATCTATCTATCTATCTATCTATCTATCTTATTAGATTCCTACCCCGCCCATCTAGACCAAAGGTCTATTCTTAATAAATAGGTAAGGAAAGAAAGACATCCAGGAGCATAATGCTAGCAGAAGGTGCTGTTCTGCACTTAAATAGCACATAGTTAAGGCTCCTTCACTCTGGTCCACCTGTTTTAGATCTACCTCCCTTCAGCAAATAGGAAACTAACAGGGAGACAATTTATTTTATTTATTAAATTTATATCCCGTCCATTTAGACCACGTCTACTCTGGGCAGCCTACAATGGAATATCATAAAACAATTAGGAACAACAATTTAAATCAGTAACATTAGTATCATTCAAGATGGAAAAAGTATAGATGAAAATTAAATTAGAAAAGTAAAGATCAAGTATTGACAGGAGGGAAGGCCTGCCTAAAGAGCCAGGTCTCAAGCTGGCTCTTAAAAACACCCAGCGAGGGTGCCAGGCAGATCTCTGACAGGAGACTGTTCCAGAGTCAAGGGGCCACTGCTGAAAAGGCCCAGTTTCTTGTACTCTACTTTCTTTCCGGGCCTCCCTCGGCATTAGCCCCTCAGCCGTCTTTCCTGGCTATAGCGAGTGATTTGAGTAGATCTAGGTGGGAGGAGGCGTTCTGCTAGATATCGAGGCCCTAAACCGTATAGGGCTTTATAAGTCATCATTAACGCTTTGAAATCAATGCAGAAATGAATGGGCAGCCAATGCATGGCAGCCAGAGTGGGAAAAATATGTTGATGTTTTCTTGTCCCACTAAGGAGTCTGGGCACCCCATTCTGCACTATTTGAAGCTTCCGCATCAGTCTCAAAGGTAGCCCCATGTAGAGCGCATTACAATGGTGCCTCGCTTGATGACGTTAATTCATTCCAGAGAAATTGCTGTAGAGCAAAAACGTCGTCAAACGAAATTTAAAAAAACCCATTGAAATGCCCAAGACCACAAATGCTGGTTCTAATCATGAGAGGCACAGTGGGAAATCAAACTCCCAGCTTCTGGCTCTGCAGCCAAATACCTAAACCAATGAATTATCCAGCCATCATCTCTCTCTCTCTTTCTCTCTCTCTCTCTCTGCAGATACTTTCTCTAACCCCCGCCCCCAACTGCTATGGTTTTGTTTGGTATTCAGGATCTATCATCTAGAAGCTGAATCCTATGGATCATGTAAAGGTTTCCCTTAAAATCGGGACCACTATCTCGTTAAACTTTGTGAGCAAACGAAATGTCAAAGGCAGCACTGCAGGAATCCTTGCCCTGTCTCCTTGTCTGAGTGGACAGGTGCCAGAGGAGGCAGAGGAAAGAAGCAAGAGCTCCTGCTGCGGCTGGACAATTGCACGAAGAGCAGGAGAAGAGCAGCGCATGCTGGCTGGTGAGTGGGAGAGCCAGCTTGGGCGAGGGAGAAGGGAATGTGCGACACCTGTGGTGCCATGACAACAAATTGACACAAACCTCCAAACTGAGGTTCATGCCCATCTTTAGTCCTGCTAATATAGTAACACAGGATTGTGTGGTTTGGAATGCAATGCCTGATACTATAAGGTTGTGCACCCTTCTCTGCATACAGGAGCATGCCGTACCTGTTTCCATTATAATGTTTCTTCTTGAACACCGGCAAGCAACAAATTAAGATCTGCAAAGAAACAAAATCTATAATTTTTTTCAAGAACACAAAGAATTTTCTCAGTGCACCACAGCTTGGAGTCCAAGCAATGCAGAAGTCATTCAAGCCACAAATAATCTGACCCACAAGACTTTGACATTGCTGTTAGCCTCTCTGAGTATTTCTTGTACCTTTAGAATACATCTTTTTGATCAGAAGGGCAGATTCATGGCAAAGTTACCAGTTACTGGCTGAAATCCTGTTGCTCAAATCCATGTGCACAGTGGGGATTACTTTCCTGATTAAAGGCAAACCACCACTGAATAAAGGCAAATTTAGGGCTCATATGACTAGTACCAATGCAATGAAGTCATGTAAACCCCAAAATTCACAAAGGAAGCTGTTAATCAGTGGTCATTTGCCATTGATGATGATTTCATTGCTGTTGGCCATTGACATATTTTGGTAGTCCTCTTCTCAGAATATGCCTGCTTCTTCCTTAGTTGGACAGAATTTGAGCATATGGTTAGAGCTTATCTACATAACAATGCAGCACAGCAGTCAGTATGAGACTAAGTGATTTCTTCCCATATGTGACATTAACATTATTTCCATTTTATTTATTCATTTCACATGTAACTTTTTTGTGACTGTAAGGCAAAAAAATCACCACCTAATGCCACTGACAGCATTAATAAAGAAGGTGATTTCTTTTTTAACTTTTTAAATCTCTCTCCCACTTCCCAAGGATTCACCAGAGCAAAAAGGGGCACTAAGGAGACTTAGAAGCAAAAACAAAACACACACACACGCACACACACACACACACACACACACACAAACAAACAAACAAACAAAGGGGGAGATAGAATGCTTTAAATCAATTAAAATGAATAACTTCCAGAGCACCAATCCAATTTAAGCCAGTGCAAAGTTATGCAATAGGACTTTGCTAGAAATTTGATAAAGGAGTACTGAAGTCACTTTGAACACCAGTTCATATTTCTCATTACCCCCCAGAGGATACACTGCTTTTATATTTGTGCAGTTTCTGCTCCACTCAAATCTAAAAGAAGCCAGTTCTATGTTTAACATTGAATGGATGAGAAAGCTGAACTTCCTTCACTCCTCCCTCTCATCTTCCTATGCTTGCCTCCATGGGGTTTTCGCCAGTCCAGCTCCTCCAGAAACCAGGATGAGTTGAAGGAGGAGGAAGGTTTAACTCCCTTCTAGTGTACACTACTTTTTATGTAAAAACTATTCCCCCATCCATACACCTACTTTATATGGTTCTGAAACATCAGTTGGTACAATATATGGCTATTCAAATATTGGTGGCAGTTCACAAATCCAGACTCATTATACCAACGTTGTACTCATTACAATGTGTTCCTTGGCCAGAGTTACTTCTCCAGTAAATATGTGTTTTGGCTAGATTGTGGAAACATTCATTTATTTATTCATTTATTTATTTTTGTAATACGGGTACCAGAAATATAGAGGAAGCTCTATATGAGCACTATAAGTGCCAGTACTCATTAAAGTGCTGGTACTGCCAGAGTCAAAACTTTCGCACTCTTAAGCAGTGTGGGATGAGGCTGCCTAAAGCAATGGTTTCCAACCGTTTTGGCACCGCGGACCAGTTTAGCGTGCATGGGGGGGCAGGGGCATCCATCCATGCATGGTCGGGGCATGCGTGTGTCCATGTATGCGTGGGTGGGGCATGGAGTGTGTATCCATGGGTGGGGCGTGCATGCGTGTGTGTGTCCGTGGGCTGGGTGTGCATGTGTCCATGCATGAGGAAGGCGGGGGATCTGTCTCCACAGCCTGGTCCTGCCAGGGCCACGGCCCAGTACTGGGCCGCGGACGAGGGGTTGGGGACCCCTGGTCTAAAGGACTGTTTGCACTTTTATGATTCTGCCCATTTCTTAATATCAGCAACAAAGACCTTCCTCTTATATCTGCCTCTTAAGATCCACTAGATTGGTGGACCTGAAAGAGAGCCTTCTGGGTGACAGTCTTGCAGCTGTAGAGTTCCTCTCATAAGAAATTAGACATGGTCTCTCTAGT